GGTGTGGGGCAGGTGTGCAGGTGCAGGGCAGGTTTGGGGCAGGTGTGGGGAAGGTGTGACTCAGGAGAGCAAGGCTGGATGGAAGTTGGCCATTCTCTTGTCCTACCAGTGCCAGCGCTCCTCCCTGCACACCTCATGCTGCATGCAGCTGAGCGGGCACTGCAGTTCCACCCGTGCCACCCACTGCCTCTCGCCCGCCTCTGCAGGGCCAATGAAACAGGCTTATGTCTCCATTTAACCTGTAGGAAGGAGAGGCACAGAGCAGCATGGGGCTCACAATCACACAGTAAACCAAGGCCAGGGCTGAGATGGTCTTCTGACACGCCCACTAGACCTGTTGGATGAATTCTAACTACTTCATCCAGGTTCTCTAGTTTCTGTCTGGTCCTCAGGTGAGATCACTGGCTTCCTGGTCCGCCTGTGCCGACTTCCTTTCCTGCTCTGCTGTTTATAACGGGTCAGTGGAGAATTGGCCACCGCATTTTCGTGTTGAAGAGCCTAATCCCTTTGTTATTCAACATGACATCTATACAACGTCTTGTCTGATGGATTCATGGCTGAGTTTAGGTCCAGGAAGTACTGCATCCATTGATCAGTTTCTGTGCTGTCCTCTTGCTGGAGAACACACCCATTTGGCTTGGCTGCTCTCCCTCTTGGCCAGGAGCCCTGGTCACCAAGCCAAAGCTGGACCCCAGCTATCAGCCGGGGCCCTGTAAGGCCTTCTCTCCTTTAAATGGCCTTTGTTCTGTTTGATCACTGAATGCTTTATCTTGAACTTTATTTTAACATGTACACCAGCTGCCCACAATCCCCTTGGAAGAAAGCTGGATATCAATTATGAAAAAAATAAGGCTGGGAATGGTGGCTCACGCCTGTAATCCCAGCACTTTGGGAGGCCAAGACCAGCAGATCAGCTGAGGTTAGGAGTTTGAGACCAGCCTGGCCAACATGGTAAAACCCTGTCTCTACTAAAAATACAAAAAATTAGCCAGGCACGGTGGTGGGCACTTGTAATCCCAGTTACTTGGGAGGCTGAGACATGAGGATTGCTTGAACTCAGGAGATGGAAGTTGCAGTGAGCCAAAATCACACCATTGCACTCCAGCCTGGGGGACAGGGCAACACTCCATCTCAAAAATAAATAAATAAATAAATAAATAAATAAAAGAAAGAAAGAAAGAAAGAATTGGATGACAGTTTGCAAGAGGCTCCCAAGGATATCAGGGAAGGGCTGCACATCAGGTCTTAATGCTGGCATGGGGAGAGGGTGCACAGAGCCCCTGAGTGACTGACCTGCTTCTGCACCAAAACCTAAAACCCTGCGTCCTTGAGGATGATGCAATTCCAATCACACCACTGGAATTTTCTGTATTTGCTTCTGGACTTGCATATTTGGACAATATATACAATTGCATTATTTGTAATGCATTTGTGTTGAAATATCATTTTGAGATACCCTCAAATCATCCACACATTCTCTTTAAAAATGGTGAAAGGTATCTCCATATGGTTTATGTGATCTAGTAATTCATAAGAGTGTTGAGTGGAATTTATCACATACGGTTAATGCTTTGTGCTGCTTTTGTTTCTAGAGCTTGAAATCTGGCTGTTATTTCACTCTCTGTAAGGGTCTGGGGACATGAATTAAGACACCCTTCTCTATGGAGTGCCTTGTGTGGGAGAGTTTGAACGAAGCACAATAGGTGGTTTTACCCTCAGGATACCCACAGCTTGGTGTGATCGGCTGGTTGGTGTGTACATTAGTGAAATGCCATGCAGTGGCAGACATGCATCCAAGAATATAACATGAGTTACAGCTCAAAGTGCTGGGGAGGGAGGGCAGGGAGGACCAGATGAGGCAAGCCCAACACAGACATCCTGAGGGGCGATGAGACGTTTTGGAGGGTGAGTCATGTTGGAGCTCCAGGATTGGACAGCTGAGGGTGTTGGATGGCAGGAAGGAGCTACCAGGATTCAGACAGTCCCCTACTGGAATGCCAGCTCCAAGACTGGTCAGGGACTTTTATCTGTTTTATATACAGCTGATTTCCCAGTGCTTGGCACAGAGTAGATGCTCAATAAACAATTGCTGAATGAATGAATGAATAATGAATGAACAGGCAGGGGAAATGGCAAAAACCAGCAAAGGCTAGGAGACCAAAGGGCTGGTTTGGGGTGGGGAGGAAGGCAGTGTTAAGAAAAGGCCAGTGAAGCTTTGAGAAGGTTGTTAAGCTATAGGAAAGTGGGCCAGATATCTGAGGTGTCCTGGAGGATACAAAGGAACCCAGGACTCAGGCGTTGCCCTCCAGAAACACATGCGGTAACTGATGGAGGAGGGCCCTGACCTGCAGGGTGGGGTATGGAGTAGGGTTAGGGGGTAGGGACTGGGGCAGGGGAGGGGGCTGCCACACACCTGAAAGCCGGTGGGTACATCCTCAGCGTCTCTGCAATCACCATGTCCAGATAGGGCAGGCCTTCCTTGAGGCTGCAGAACTCAGGGACCATCTGATGGAGCGGTCATGACAAAGGGAGAAGTTCATGTTAGCCCGACTCTCATGGCATTTTGTCTTTTCCTTAAATTTCAATCTTGTTTCCAACTTTGGCAAACATTTAAACGGAAACCCCACAAAATGAAAAGTCGATATGACCCAAATTGCATCTGATTGGCATTCAGTGTGTTCTGTTGTGCTTACATTTCACGGTGCTAGCCTGGGGCTCAGGGGTCCTTGTAATACAGAGAAGTTTGGTTATAAAACTGCAGCGGCAGCCACAGCTGCCAGCATTTGTTGGGAGCTGACGGTGTGGCCGACCAAGTGCAGCATAGATGTTCCCTCATTGGATCCTCCACTAAGCCAGTGTGGCGGCTACTTCCCCATCTCTCAGATGAGAAAACTGAGGCTCAAAGAGCCTGTCACATGGATAGTCATGGCACATTATGAAGTTAAAAGACAAATAGAGAAATAGCAAATAAAAAGTTTTGCAACCTGTATAAGGGATTAGAAGTAACAAAAAACCAAAGAGCTGCTGTCAATCAGTAGGAAAAGACAACTAGCTAGAAAAATGGTCAACGGATATGAAAGGGTAAAACACAGAAGCTATATGAGTTACTATGATGAGAAATGCAAGTTCGAATGAGATTCCATTCGAATCTTGCACAGGTCAGATTAGGAACAGTTGGAAAATGTTGATTATATTTCAGGGGGTGCAGATGTGGGGATCCTAACACCCCGTGGGTGACTATCCTGGAGTGACACTCTTGTCACTCCCTGGCTGCCCCTCTTTGGCCTGAAGATGAACACGTGTGCCCATGAGCTCTTGAGCAGGGTGAGGGCGCACCGGGGTTAAGGAAGCTTATTTGCTGCTCTGCCAGTTCCCCACAGACGTGGAATGAGTTATCTGGTTGGTAGGTGATGGTCTCACTTTCTTCACCTAGATAATGCTAATCCAGGAGGAGTCCCCAAGGTGAGGGATTGCTTTCTTCTGTTCCCTCTTTTTCCCAGAGCAGCAGGAGGCCGGCCTCCAGGGCAAGTCCATTCGGAAGCCGCCAACGTTCCAGGGACAGGTGCTGGGAGGCCTAGTTCCTCCATCTGCAGGGGGAGCCCTTCACAGCCCTGGAGCAGCCACTGGCTGCCCTGCCTGGGATCTCAGCCAGCTCTCAAAGTGAATTCCAGGATGGGCAAGGGTCAGCAGCAGCAGCATCACCGGGGAACCTGTTAGAACTGTCTTGATGGGGGCAAACCTCTGCCCACCCCCAGCCCAGGTACTGAGTGTGTCATAGCACAGAGGTTTAGAGATCCTTGGAGGTTAGTCTGCTGTGGTTGGCTGGGGAAGGCTGTGGAAAGGGAAGACATCTGGACTAATTTCTCTAGACCCTGCCTCCCTGGCTGGGTCTCAGTGCATGTGGCTGGTGACTGATAGGGCCCTTGGATGCCTGGAAGGGTCTGGACTCCCCCAGCTCATCCCGTATGTCCAGGCCTGAAAGAGCATCCCCCTTGGGTGAACCTGGAGGCATCCTCTCTTCCTGCTTTCAGTCTCCCTAAGTTTGGTTTGTGTTTGTCTCTTCTGGCCAACAAGTCATAAAACACCAATTGTGTAATTTCAGTGGTTCTGCATATGAGTTAAATGCTCTGAAATTTACATTTAAAACTGGCATCGCTTGATATAAAGATGAATGGTAAAATGCTTGCTAATAATTTAAAATTTAGAGTTTTCTTAGAACGACAGTAAATAGAAAATAAAAAGCACCACGACAAGTCGAAAAAGAGACTACAGAAGAAATGAAGAAGCTCACTGACCCACGAGGGACACTTCCCCCCGCTCTGGGAATAAAGGCTACCACACTTTTATTTCTCACTGGGCCTCACAGATCCTGTAGCCAGCCCTGCAGGCCAAGATTGACTGGCCCAAAGGGACCAGGCTGGAAATTTGGATCTGGGACCAAAAAAAAGAAGTTTTTCTCCAGCAGGCGGCAACTGAACACAGGGAAGTGGAGACCCATTGTTGGCCACATTTGGCCTCGTGGATTAATGAGCAGAAAACAGCAGTTGGCCTCAGGAAAGAAGAAATGAATCAGATATACACAGCAACGCAGAAGCAAAGGACGGACAGACCATTTCTTGGTGCCCCATAGAGTTCCAGTTCCTATTTGCTATCTGCTCCTCCTGGCAGGTAGTCCTGTGGGTGGCATCTTGGTACCTTCCAACAAGTTCTCACTTGTGGCTAAAGTTAGCGACATTCTGAATTCCATTGTCTGCAACCAAATGAATCTTAACAAATGCAGGAATATACATGCATCAAACAAGAAACAGAGGTGCGGTACACAAAAATAGGGAACTATATCTCAAAAAGAAAAACTGGATCTGGGAGCAGCATCCCTAATGGGTAAATGATGTTGGTTCCTCAAAGAAAATTGTATGGCTTGTAAGCTGTCACGGTTTGTCAAAGAAAGAAAACTTTTTAAGATAGGCTAAGGGAATTTTGTATTAGAAAATCAAAGTCTTTATTTACTCTTTCCCCAG